CATATTTAATACTACCCACCTAAATTCTCGTTCCCAAAACAAATGTTGCACCATATTTGGGACGGAGAGAGTATTAAATATATAATATAGATGAATACTTGGAATGAATTAAAAATACGATTGATTAAATAAATTAAAATCAAACAATTTATAAAGATATTCAAAAAAATAAAAAGGAAAAAAGAAAAAACTGTTGTAGACAAGTTTTAATGTATTTCTAAATATAATTTAGCTTTTTGATAATGGAACAAAAAACTTTATCAAAACAGTAACAATTACTGAATAACTGAAATAACGGAAGAATTTGATATAGTTATACAAGATCATATTAGGCATATTCAAAATAATGAATTTATTATCATTATGGTCAAAAATTTCAAAATAAATTAATTTTTTTATTCGCTCATGCATAGTGTAGAAGTTCAATTATAAAATTTCTCAAAGAATCAAAACATTTATCAATAATTATTGATAGTAACTTGGATATTAGTTATCTAGAACACACGGTTTTAGTTGTGGGTTGTATAAAAATGAATGAGTTTGTAATAGTATGTATATGTTGCAAAACAAATTACTTTTAATATGAAGATTGAATACTTATTTTTAACTAAATGTTGCATTTTTTTTTTTAAAAAAAAAAGAAATTTTAATGATAATTATTAAAATAAAGAAGTACAATCATAAGAAGAAAAAAAAAAATTAATTACTTTTCTGATTAATTCTAAATGATAACCGAATTAAAAGTTTTACCAATAATTCTACTGTAAAAATTAATGTCATTGACTGTGATACCAGACCCGCTAGCCACCTAATGCCAAACGTGTCAGGATTATAGGCTGTCCTACAGTTCAACACGAGTTCTTCCAGCGCGCATATGTCCTCATTCACGCGCCCCTGAGAGGCTTCCCAGAAGGCACACTTAATTCTACAATTCTTTCAGTAGCGCTCTCGAAAATGAATGTGCACATTGTTGACATGAGTAGTCTATTCAATCCATTTAATCTATATTCAACCTCGGATGGCCGGCACCGGCTCATCCACAAAAGTTGCCCTAGCACCGACCCAACACTGGGGTATCACATTGATTGAAATTCTTAAATTTATTAAAGTGGTTGATTGTTATCTAAAATTTTTTATTGTTTATGTTATGAGAAAACGAATAAGAAAACAATTAAAGAACACAGATGTTTTACGTGGTTTGATGACAGTGTGTCAACCTACGTCCACATGCAGGAACCGGAGAAATTTTATTATGCTGATTCAGAGAGTTACAATCATGTCATACGACTAGGAACCACAACTATCTATTTATAAGCACTCCAAAAAACCCTAAACCCTAAGCTATTTGTATTAATTAGGATAAGCCCAAAACTTGATCATTTTAGGGTTTTTTTTTTTTTTTTATCTAATTTTGTTTATGGCCCAATACATGGCGCACTATTTTTTCTGTAGGGTCGGGGTCCATCCCCCTTGGGCTTCGATATTTTTGAGCTACCTTTCTCTTGCATTTGGATCATATAATATTTATCTCAAACCGAATCCGCCACTTTATTCTCATTCAGCATGTATAAAATATAAAAACAACACAAATGTTTATTTAACACATAACTTTAAAAATAACAACAATATTTATATAAATATATCATAATAGTGGGATGATCAAAGCTAATTTTATTGCCAATTTTATTGCCATTAGTGTCATATCCTTTTATTTACAGACTGGTTACAATAATGAATAAGGCAAATGAAAACTACAATAATTTTTCATCTAACAATTATGAAACATATAAACTGTATAGATGCACTTTATATGCTGAAATCAACTGTAAATCTTATTATCTTTTGACTATAACATTTGTTGTCCGTTGCATTATGTTAACATTGGATGAACAACATATATTACAGTTGAAGGCAACGCAATTTATAATTGATTTTGGTACATGAAATGTATTTATGTCTAATCCAACAAAGTGCTTTTGTTTAATACTTAATTTGTTATTCGTATTTATATTATATATTGTTTGTCTTTGTCAACACATATATTATGGGATGTCAGTCCTCATATTATGCATTGCATATGAGTATATGATATGATGTTTTGTTAATTTTATGATGTATTTATATTATATTAACATATAAGTCATAAAACCAACATAATTTATTATGCTTTGAAAGCATATCTAGTTGATTTTATTTAACATTTTATCTACTATTTATATTTATATTTCGTCTGTAAATAAACTCCGATCAAATGTTAATATTTTGTTTGACGACGGTTAGAGTTTTGATTTAGTCAAATAAGAAGTTAGCATATATTGTGTTACATACCAGCATATAATATGTTATATTATATACTGTATTATTTTTCATGCTGAAATCAGCGTAAATATCGCATTTACTATAAAATTGATGTAGCGTCTCTTTATACTTTAAAAAATATTGCATGAAATCCCTCTATAGTTTCAAAACTCAGTTTAAATCCCACTTTACTTTAAAAATTGCATGACGAACTCTTATACTTTAAAAAAATATTGTATGAAACCCTCGACAATGCAAAAAGTATAGATAGAAAATCATCTTCTCACCACACAAGAGAGGGCGGTGGGATTTTATGTAATATTTTTAAGGGTAAACTGTTTTTTAGTCCCGTAACTGGACCTCTTTATCATTTTAATCTTGTAACTGGATGTTGTCTTAAAAAAAGTCTCGTAAGTAAATATTTTTCTCCATTTAGTCCTCAATGCATATGTGACATTTGTGTGGCATGCTGGCAGACACGTGTCCGCCACGTGGATAATTTCTATTTTTTAATTTTATTTTTTAAATAAAATAATAATAATAAAGCTAAAAATATAAAATATATAAAAATTAAAATTAAAACAAAAAAAATAAAAGTTATCCACATGTCATGTCTGCGCCACGTGGCCACTACGTGGATAATTTATATTTTTTATATTAAAAATAAAATATAAAAAATAAGAAATAATATATAAAAATATAATTAAAAAAAGAGAAAAAAATCAATTTTTGTCTCAATATAATCAAAATTTATCAATTTTGGTCCCAATATAAAAAAAACTCATCAATTTTAGTTCCAATATAAACAATTTCAATCAATTTTGGTCCTATTATAAACAATTTCAATCAATTTTGGTCCCACTGTTGAAAACTAACGGAAATTGCTAACGTGGACATAACGGAGGTGACGTGGCAGTTGACCCGGAAAGTATATGACCATGTACAATTATACACGACCATGTTGTTACATGGTCACGTATATTTCAGTGTATAATTATACATGGTTATGTTGTTACACGACCATGTACAATTATACACAGCCATATTTTTACATGACCATGTATATTTCAGTGTATAATTATACATGACTATGTTATTACACGGTCATGTATAATTCTACACGCTCGTGTACCTTTCTTTTTCGGTCTAAAATTTTATTTTTTTGTTATATTTTTTAATTTTTTTTTTGAATTTAATAGTTGATATAGTTAAAAATGAAAAAAAAAAATCAATAATAATCATAATATAATTAAAATATATCAATTTTAGTTCAAATATAAATATTTATCGAGTATGTTCTTTTGGAATATTTTATCTAAAATTCTACTATTTAGCAAAAAAATTTCTCTTACAAACATCCAATTAATGTATTGAAATAATAAATTAATTTTTAATACTACTATAATATATAAAATTAAAAAATAGTTGCATAATTGAATGTTTGTAAGAGGAATTTTTTTTTAATAATAGAATTTTAGACAAAACGTTTCAAAAGAATATATCTTATAAATTTTTATATTTGATATATTATAATTACTATTGATTTTGTCCATTTTAACTATATCAACTATTTTAAATTCAAAATAATTTTTTTTTTAAAAAAAATATAACAAAAAGATAAAATTTTAAACTAAAATAGAAATGTATATAACCGTGTATAATTGTATATGACCGTGTAACAACATGGCCATGTATAATTATACACTGAATTATACATGGTCATGTAACAAATGGCCGAGTACTTTCCAAGTCAACTGCCACATCACCTCCATTATTTCCATGTCAACAATTTTTGTTAATTTTTTAACGATGGGACTAAAAATGATGAGTTTTTTATATTATGACCAAAATTGATAAATTTTGGTTATATTGGGACCAAAATTAATTTTTTTCCCTTAAAAAAATATAATAATATATACATTATTAAATGTCACGTGGTGCTGATATGACAAACTTATTTGTAATTTTTTATATTTAAAAAAATAAAAATAATCCACGTGGCGAACACCTATCAACCACATGGCGCTAATTTGGCCAACACGTATCTGTCAGCATGTCATGCAGGTGTCACATAGATATTGAGGACTAAATTGCAAAAAATTTTCACTTACAAAATTATTTTAAGATAACTTTCCGTTACATGACAAAATTGATAAATTGGTACAATTACGAGACTAAAAATCAATTTACTCTAATTTTAAAAATATAAAAAAATATCATTAGTATATGAAGATTTTAAATTGAATCTACAAAACAAAGTTACTAGCAATTTTATTTTAAAATTATAACGTACCATGTTGAAGTCAAAATTATATTTATTGTATGTAATTATATAATTTTTTATTAAAATATTTGTATATATTATATTAAAATATGTGTTACTGTTTTTATAAATATTTAATAATTGGATTAGAATATATTATATTGAAGTGAAATTATATTTTGTTATATATAATTATATAATTTTGTTATTAAAATATTTATTATATATTTTATATTAATATGTGTTATTTCTTTTTATAAATATTTATCATTTGAATAAGAATATATTGAGTCATTTTGTTTTTAATTAAATTAAAATTAAATTCCAAATAAATAAAAATTTTTTAAAATAAAAAATAAAAATAATAAAATAATGAAAAAAAAAAAAAAAAACCCTAAAGTAATTTTAGTTGGCTGGGGATTGAAATTGTATCAACATGCTGTGGGGTTTTTCGGCTTGTCATAAGCAAGGGTTTCTGGGAATTCTCGAATAAGTGCTGAATTTCTTCAATAGTACTGGTTTCAATCGTTCCAGTTGGTCGCCTTCACTTGATTTTGCTGTTTCACCGCACTAAACAATGGCTTTGAAGGTCAATGCGTCTGCCACTCACTCCCCACAGGTTAATCCTCCTCCGTATCTTCACTTGTTTGTGTGGGCGTTTATTTTCGGTATTCAGTTCTGTGTGGAAACACAAGTTATTTACAGTAATATCGTTATTCTAAGACGGTACCTGTCGAGATAAATTTGATAGTTCTCACGAGAGTCAGGAATTTGTCGAAAATTGTTTTCATTCACGGGGGCAATGAGCAATCGTAGTTCCGTCTGTTTGCTTTAACTCATTTTGAAGCTAATATGAATTTAGCGGTGAAATCTGGCAACTGATTCTTTTATTAGGGATGAATTTAGGGCTAATAGTAGTAGAGATATCGGAGGATATGGATTCTTGTTATATATTTAGTTGCTGATATTGCCATAGATGTTTTCGTTGTAATTCACAAGTCCTAGTTTGGAATTAAACCTTCAAAGCGGATAAATTTTCGTATGTTGCTCTGCCTTTGATATTTGTAATTTGTATCGTTATTGGTTCCTGTGACAATGCTTGAATTCTTTTGCAGAGCTTTCCATTATCTCATGGGACTCAGTGCTGTACATTGAGTTTTAGACCAAATCAATTATGTAGAAATACCATGAAAGTATTCTGCAGCAGAGGTATGGCTGCTGGCCATTCAGATGGTTCTAGAAAACTCATAATCACTAATATCGCGGACAAGGCAAAACAAATTTGGGATAAAGCTCCTCAGCCGGTGAAGGATTTTCCTTGGAATAAAGCATTGGAAAATTTCGTGCAACTCATTCTCGACCTTCTCCTGGCAGTTATCAAATACTTATCTGTACCTCTATTCGCCATTACATCGATCAGTGAGATGTCTTATTGTGCACATGAGAGGAAGCTGTATCTGGTACCATTACCATTTCTGGCTGGAGTTGGTGTTGCTGGGGTACTGAGAAATGCTGCTTTCGAATCGTCTCCATATCTAAAGGTGGTTTTATTTTAAATATTTTGTCCTTACGTTGGAATTCATGTGAACAGAAGCACAACGACTTCTTTGAATTACATGGTTTAGACGGAATGGATATATTAACTGCCTGTGAATTATCTGCATTGCACAACAAAATTTCGCATGTTTGGTAATGGTGAGATAATTGTGAACAATGCAAAACTCACATTTACTTTCAGGTAGGTTATATAAGTTATTACATGCAACTTAATCATATGTTTTCTTCATAGGATAAAACCGTTGCTAACTTAACTCACAGAATATTATTAAATCTAGGACAGAACAATCCATTAAAACGATCATATAAGATATTTGCTCCATTCATTGAAGTGAACACTGCTAAGATGAATGAAAAGACTGTTAGCATCATCCCTGGAATGAAAAAGGGTAATAAATTCCTGCAGCGAATCCAAGTTTCGACAGAAATGTGTCATAGAAGATGCCATTCTGTTTCTGCTTTCAAATGGAATACTGTATAAGGAATTTGGAAGTTGGCTGCTTTCTGCATTCTGTTCCTACAGAAATTTGGAAGTTTGCTGCTTTCTGCTTTCTGCCTTATTATCTTGTTTTCAAAATTCCAGTTAAATTATATATATTGATCTAGTTTTTAGGTTTACATTCTGCTTTGATGTAATAAATTTACATAATGCATCTTTGCCCTTGGAATATTAGATGTTGCATATACTAAATTGTGTTGGATGTAGATGATTTATGTCTTATGACAGTTGGGTTAATAGTTAAATTATTGTGCCTTTATTGTTCATTATTGCTCTCCATGCGTTTCACACATTTGAGGAATTATATATATATATATATATATATGTATGTATATGAATTGTTCATCTTTGCTTGATGATTTATATTCTTTAATGAATTGCAGTATGCTGAAGTTCCCTGGCATCTCATTGCTATTGCATTAGTTTTTGCATTGCTTAAGATTCCTGGTCCTTACTACCCGTATTGGGGACGGATTTTCATTCCACATTTTGCAAATGGAGCATTGTGGAGGACACTGTGGTTCATGTTTCAATGGTACCGGTCACCCCAAAGGAAATCAGAATTTAATCAGCCTGATTCTACGCTTTCCAATCCCAAAGCGGATGATGCCCAATAAATTGATGATATCCTTGCATAGGTACGAGACAATTGAAACTTTTCTTCTTTGCTACACTCCATCATTTGTTATCGAAATAATTGTTTAAGGGGCAGTTCTTGTTTGTTGTGAACCAATAGAACAATCAAGGATCATGATAATCACCGACCCTTTGTTTCACAACGTAGAAGAAATGAAAAGAAACTACATAGATCACACGTTCACAGATGCATAAATCAACTAACTAGTTCATTTGCTTCGCCGTGCAGAAAATTGACTATATGGATCATACCTTACCACTGTTGACACATGCATTAATCTCAATAAGTTCATTATTTTCGAGTTCTTATATTCGATACTGTTGATGGTCCAATGACATTTTCCTTTCAGTTGTCTTATTTTGCAGGTTTAAGGTAGTGCCTACATCACGTTTGGAATCTGTAGAAAGAACCTGAGTTGAGATACCGATGCTTTGTTTAGACAGAGGTTTTTGGAATTTTGAAAGTTTGGAAAAAAAAATAAAAAGTTAGTATTTGATTTAATGTTTTGCAAGAGAAAAAATGTATTTGATGTGACTTTTTTTTAAAAAAATAAATAATGTCAAATGAGTGAAAATGTATTTGATGTGGCAATTTTAGCTCTTGACGTGTTTGTGTCATAAACACTTGCACACAACTGGGGAATATTTTTAATTAAAATGCTTATAAGAGAAAAGGAGAAATTATAAATTAGTAAAATAAAATTGCTTAGTCTTTAGCATGCCTGATTAAAAGGAACAAGCTTGATCCGATCAAAAAAAAAAGGAACAAGCTTGATTCACTAGAAGGTATAATTCTAATTTGAGCTTGAATGTTATAAAACACTAGTTCAAAAAATTGTAATACTCACATAATTTATCTTTATTTTCGTCTGTCTCACATAATTTGTCCTTTTTTTTTTTGGAAAATTGATTATACATTTTAATTATATTTTAAAATTTAAAATTTAAAATTTTTTAAATCTTAATTAAACTAATTTTAATTTTAATCTATAATTATTTTTAGTAAATAATAATTATTTTTATTAATATACTTCTTAATTATTTACTAATTATACTTTACTTAAATTCTTGTATCTACAGGAATGCGGTAAATTCTCGTATTTACAGTAATGCGCCTATCTTATCTGGGAGAGAGTAATATATAAGATATCTATTTACAAAGTCATTTAAAGATACTATTTTCTCCGTTCCAAAATTTGAGTTCAATTTATTATTACTAGTGTAGCCGGTTTATAATTGTGTTTGAAATAATGTTTTTTAAATAATTTATTATATTTTTTTGAAATAATGTTATATAAATAATTTATTATTTAGAAAATATCTTGTAGAAAAATATAATGTTTATAAGGGTCACATTTACTTTTTACACCAATTGTAAAATATTATTATATTTGTATAATTTTTTGCATAAATATTCTTATATTAGTATTATAAAGTACTAATTCAAGTATTTTTGTAATTTTTTTTTTTTTAATTTGTACTACGTTTTGATATAATAATTAATATTTAAAGATCAATACGCAAAATTAATCGAGACTCTCAGATATGAACGGAAGTTGTACAAAATTTACTATACGGAAGTTTTCTACTTAAATATATAAAAGTGTCAATAAACTATAGTAGTAATGACGTACTATTTTGTCATATATTTTTTTAAAAATTGTTACCGCTGAAATTCGTCAATGATGACCCAATGAATTAAGGCCAGTTAAAATCGACAAGAACTTAGGTTTTTCGGCCTACTCAAAAAAGTATCCGGGTTTCGTCTCGCAACAAAAGTTAACGATTGTAATTGCACAAGAAAATTAAACTTCTAGATTGAAAGAATCGGAAGAAAGCAATAGAAACAAAAATGAATCGGATTATGAAATGGATAATTGGAAAAATAACATGAATTTAAGAACAAAAATAACAAAAGTAAAGAAGAAAGAAAAATAGATAAAAGTTGGATCATGTGTATTATTTTTTTGGATCGATCTCTCTTTCTCATATATTGGCTCCCCTTTAAGTAGCATTTGATGAGCCTTATCTGTAATATCATCACTTTTCCCATTTTTGTTCCATCATTTTCTCCGATTTTCTATTTTTTGTTTAGAAAAGTTCTTTGATCACTCCCTCGTTATCTCCCTCATCCATATTAAAAACTTGTCTGTATCCGTACATAGATTGGGGTTGTTTGGGCCAGCTCATATACTCCTTCGGGCTAGGCTGTCAATCACCTCCGGAGGCCCAAAATATGTGGGAGTAACAAATGCCGCCCACAAAAATATTTGGGCAAAAAGTTTGTCAAACTTTGAAGTCCAATATTTTTGTTTGAGATTAGTAGTCGATATTCCACCAAACTCCTAGATAAGCCCGACACTTCATGGTGATCCCATGCAAAGCAGCCCTAATATTCCCAGATCAAAGCCATCAATCATTGTTTTTGTTTTGGAGGTCACAATGAGCTGATTTGCATCATTCGGGAGTAGCAACAAACTGATCTGCGTCATCCGGGGGGTTGAATCGTCACCAAGATTTGATTTCTTCGACAGGATTCTGAGCCCCAAACGATGGTTAGCCCTCTGGATGGGAGAGGAAAGTGCTTTTTATTCTGATCCTCCGGAGAAGGCGGCAGACATGAGAAATGTGTCTGCCTCTTAAGAGTACGCACCGGGACATATTCGGGTCCTCCGGTGGCACCGTATGTCTCGTAAATCCGTCCCTCAAGGTCCCATATCACTTTTCGATCCTTATTCATTGCGAATAAATTGGCAAGAAGTCTGTGCATCAGCCTCCGTAAGGATTTCGAATCCTTTCATTGCATTCCGCCCAAGTCTCTACAAACTCTTTGGGCAAAAAGCCGATAGTATTTACATGAAAATCCTTTTCGTAATTTAACGTCTGTTTCAAGTCCCAATCATTCGCGATGATCTCCAGACTTGCAAGTAATGTCTTATCGTCTTCCAATGCTTCAATGACCGGCTCGTTCTCTAAAATAGGTGCTACTGGTACCTTCGAGGGAGCCTGGTGTTCCAAATCATTTTTGTTCTCCGGGACAGCCTATTTCGGCCTCTATTCCCATCGTCTTCTCCTCCGAGGGAGTAATTCTTCCGCTTTTGGCACATCTTCATTAGCAACAATCTGCACACGATCTTTTTGAGGTTGTCCGCGTTGCTGCTTTTGTTCCTCCGAGATAAGGCGGGCTGCTCGGAGCTACCCCTGCTGCCTTCTCCGTTGAGTCCTAGTAAGGGGTTGATTCTTCACTTTTCGGTTTTTGGACCAAATCCCGTCCTTTGGGGCTTGTTCAGGTCGTTGCATGAGGTGAGGAGTTATCACCATCTGGTCAACTGAAGTTACTCACCAAATCTCGCCGTTTTTTTTTAAACTAACTTCGACGACGGTGTTATTGGGCGAAAGGCGATCCTATGCCACGTTTCTTCGTGGAGGTTTGATGGATCTTCCAAGCCGCTCGATCACATTCCTCTTCAGGGCGGGTCGTCTAGGACTATGCCTAACACCCGAGGCTCACTGTTTACCCCGAGCCGGTCGGACACCAATAGCACTGATCGGAGCCAAGAATGGCTCCATTTCGATTTTCATCTCTGACTTGTCCGGGCAGTCCAGATTATTCTCTTGAACCTGGACCATGTGTGCTCCGTTTTCAAATTTGTGATGTCCGGCAGCATGGGCATCCCGGAGGAGCTGTTCCGCCTTCACTACTTTCTCAGTGAGCTATCTGATGTCGTTATACTCCTTGAGGGCCAGCTTCTCTCGGAGCTGATGTGTCATAATATCAATGGTCATATTTGACCAGTTGATTTTCAGGTATCCGACCTTGACACCGCACATCTGCCTTGCGAAAGCTTTCCAAAAACTGCTTCATCGGTTCATCATGCTTTTATCGTAGGTTGGTTAGATCCGACAGTGTCACCGCCGGCAGCGGATCATAAAAGAGCTCATGGAATATCCTTTCGAGATCCTCCCAAGTGTTGCACGAGTTTTGCGGCAAAGACACGTACCACGTAAATGCCAGCCCTATGAGAGAACGAAAATAATTGGAGTTTAAATCATTCATTTTTCCCGAACTCTCCTCCCTATGTGCTGTGAACCAACCGATATGGTCGATAGTAGACCATGAATCTTCTTTTGAAAACAACGTGAAGTTTAGAACCCATGTATTCCGGGGTAGCAGATGGTTGATGGAAACTTGATCTGAAAATGGCCGTTGATAATAGGGCCTAGCGGGTAGCCAAATAGGATCGCTATACAACCTCCGAATTGTTTTCTCGATGATTTTCGGATTAATAATCAATCACGGCGGAGGAGCAATCTCGGCATGTCCTCCGGCCTGTCCCAGGCCTCGCTGAACACGGTGGAAGGGTTGTTGATACCCTTGTGAAGGGTGCGCCGGGGGTGGAAGAATCCGGTTCCCATCGACCGGCACCTCGGAGGTGCTTCTGGTGCCGGAACAAAATTACCGAACTAAATTGGAGGGCCCTGTTGTGGAGGTTCGTACCCCTGCTGTGTGGCTGGTCCAGCAGGGAGGACTTCCTGGTATGCTGCCCTCCCCTCCCCTTGGAGGCGGCAAGGCCGGAGCTAGTAGATTAGGACCCCACGCAACCGCTACCGATGACGGAGCTGCCCCCATGAGCCCGGAAGTGGTGGGGCTGCCTCCCAGGATGTGTTCGAAGGTAGAGCGGTGCCGCCCAAGCAACTTCAGGGGCTGATAGGGCGAACAGAGGTATTGAGGCCGTTGTCGGCCATGCCCCCCAAGGGTCGGCTGCTTCTCCTTCGGCCAAGAAGTTTCCTGGAACGTTTACATCCGTGGCTGATCTAGGGGCGCCAATTTCACCAAATTAGAGGGTTGGTACACCATTGGGATGTGGGTTGTGCACATCCGTTGCTTTATGGATGTCCATGTTGTGGCGGCGGCCTTACGGTGGCCCGCCCTGAGGACTGCCAAGGTCCTTCGGCAACTTTCTCATTCGGGAGGCCCCTGCCTCAATTTTCTTTCGCTAGTATGGTCACGTCGCCATACTGGAGTGACACCGGAAGTGATCTAGCCGTGCCCCCATGCATTGCGCTTGCCGGAGGATTATTTCTAGCAATTTCGGGGTTGTCCATCAGTGTCTTGCCCTTGCGCGTTTCCTCGTCCCTCATCCGTGAGAATTCATCACAGATGATGGGCTTTAAGACATCCATAATGTACCGAGAACGTTCCAGCGCCAACCTGTGGAGTGCCGCTTGGATCTCCTTTTGGATCTGATCATGTAAAATGCTGGCCGGAATCGTCACCATTCTTTCCACACCTTTCGGAGCCGTAGAGTACTTATCATGTGTGATCTTTTCAGAAAATAATGGCGCTAAATTTTTGCCGGCCACTCATTTTTCTTTCGACATGGTAGTGCTGTCCGGAGATGGTAGTTTGCAATTCCTTAATTGCACGAAATGCGAGACTCGTTAGAGTCCCACTGGGAGTGTCAATCTGTTGTCACTGAAATTCATAGATGACAGCCCAATGAATTAAGGTCTGTTGAAATCGACAAGAACTTAGGTTCCCCGGCCTACTCAAGAAAGTAACCGGGCTTGGTCTCACAACGAAAGTTAACGATTGTAAT